CATCTATCAGAGGAGATAAACAGTAGAGGAGAGATGTCAGGGTTGGAGGAGAGGTGGGAGGTCCTGCCACAAGAAAAGGTGCAAGAAATCGCGGAGGCAGATAAGACCAGACTTAGCGGGAGAAGAGTAGGGGGAAAAAAGTTAAAAATACACAGTAGCACAGCAACCGGTGAAGTGATAGAGGAAAATGAAGAGCAAGGACAGGGGAGTGGGAGGAAAAAAGAGTGTCAGGGAGAGAATGGAGGCTTTTGGTCCACATGCTTCTCAGCTGTGTAAACTGAAGTTCTCTGCTGCTTCTCAGATTCCCCCAAAGAAGGGGGATATTTATAGGAGGCAGTGGCAGTGGATGGACCCTTGCTCTGTCACACACCCGCTTTTATTATTATTAATACTTTATAGGAGCAAAAATGGAAAATGTCAGCAACCTGAGAGGCATGTGCTGTGTGTGTGTGTGTGTGTGTGTGTTTGCATGCATGTGTGTGTTTATTCAGTCTCTTTTCTGAGAAAGTATCTTTTGAGGAGACAGGGCTTTTTTTTATTAAGAAGTGGTCAAAATAAGTAAGACAAGAGAATGTTAAAAAGAACAGAAAAGCAGAGAAAAGTTGGCACAGATTAAGGGGTGTAACCCAATCTACTGAACTTATTAGAGCTGTCAAAGGGTGTGTGTGTGTGTGTGAGAGAGAGAGAGAGAGAGAGAGAGAGAGAGAGGTGGAGCAGGACTAGACAGACACAGACATGAATACATTTACCAGCTCGATTATAAGATTCCCGCAAGTTGCAGACGTGTTGAAACAGACTACACACACACACACACACACAGTGAGACTCATACATTGGTTCAACATCCACCTGGTAACAGATGCACACTCAGGCACACATGCAGAAACACAAACAGTCTGATAGACATAACAGACGTACACGCGCACGCACACATGCTGGGAAGAGAGGAAATTCCAGAGGGAACAGGTGGGAGTGATGATAGCAATCTATCAGAATGACTTTGATCTTCCCCATGCCTCTGTCACCACCGCTCAAATATGTTGGATGGATCAACTTGGCCCCCAATGCATTCACATGCCAGGATGTAATAACAACACGGCACCAAAGTACCTGGGAAGTAAAACTGCAGTTTTTGGTAGTGGGAGTGCACACCAGGTTTCTGCTGGGCAGTACAAATGTGCTGGAAAAGCTCTAAGAGTATGTTTTGTAGTAGTAAAACCAATGGTGAACACATATAATCAACCTTATTTAAAAAAAAAACAACAACACCTGTTCAAGTGCTCCTTAATGCCAATATATGGAAAAGTCAAAGTGTTGGATTCCAGTTATTGCATTAATGCATCCCCAGGAGTTTACGAATAGTGTCTATTAGTGTTTGGGAAACACTGCCTTCGAGAGTCTGAAACTACTGAGGTACAGCTCTATGGTTTGCAAAGTGTTGTCAACAAGAGGAAATGTACAATAACGAAGCCAAGATGTTAGCGCTGATAAGAAGGCAGCAACCAGCAATAGCCACCCCACTACGTAAATACCCCAGAGGATCATTCTCTGTTTTGCTGTCTCACCTTTGATTGAGTCACTGACTGCAGCAATTCTACTCCAACCCACTGGGTGGCGCTATTGTGTCTACCTTGGTGTCAGAAGAAAACAGTCATCAAACATCTGTTGTCTGCCAGCCAAGTTTCTGAAGAACCAAATGGGACAAAGTTGCCAATAATGGAAAAAAAGATGAGACATTGTTAAATCTTACTCATCACTGACAGTGACTTATTAAACCAACTGTAGCAACAAAGAAATGAAGATGAGCTGAACGCACATCATACCAAACCTTGAAGCAGATGGGCCACAGCAGTAGAAGATCATAAGGATTAGCACTACTCTGAGAAAAGAAAAAAACTAATTGTGACTTAAATATTTATGTGCTCAGCAAATTAGAAAACAGAAGGTTGGGAAAAAAAACATTTACAGCAGCGTTCAGCTGGCAGGATCAGACACGACTTGAAAACTTTAATCCATCTTTCCTTGTATGGATGGTTTGGGCTGCTGTAAGTGGAGTAA